GTTTAAAAAATGTGATGTAATTATTAGTGACAGAAAATTGCCACTGATTTTATTAGCAAAAATAAGCAAGTTTAATTTGACCTACCATATTTCTTCACCTCGAACTTGGAGGTGAATGTGTTCTGCTCCCAGTGGTCAAACTTTGCAGTCACCGTCCATGTTCCTTCACTGCCGTAGACAAACATATCAGAGAAAGTACATAAAGCAGAGGGAAACATTTTCGGGATTTTAGGTGTTACATGTATAATTTGACAAGGCTGAGAGTCTATAGCCATAAGTGGGATCTTGGTCCACAGTAAACAGGGAATTTTGACTTGATTATTACAATTAATCCTGAGATGGACTTGAATGTGTAAGCTACAATTAATGGCATTCTATCCAATAGATGTTGGGACATTTCACTCAAAATCATAAATGTGTATCACATGGTGGCACTAGGCAAAGTCAGGGGACCACCAGAGTAAACTGGATTAATCGTCTGGGAATCTGGTGTCTGTCTTAGATTTTGTGCCAATTTTAGATGTTGAAATATATCATTGTATAAAGGACAAACTTTAACCTGCTAGTGGTACTACAGGAAAAGTTAAGTGATCACCAAAGTCAGTAAGATTCACCCTCTGATGCACTTGAAGGTCAGTATGAAATTACAGAGAAGTTCATCAAACAGTTGAGACATTTCCGTCTGGACCAAACTTGTGGATTGGCTGAAACCGACAAACAATGCCATCCCAAGCATGTATCCCAAATTCGAACTGAATTTCGAGAAAATCGGGAAAGGAAAATGCTTGTTTCTATCCACTACTGTTGTGCAATTACATTAGGGGTTGGTTCCATTTGGAAAACCAAAGGAAGAGTGCACAACAAGATGATGTAATTAAACAAGCACCATTTGAACCTCGAACCATGAAAAACAATGTAGAAAACACGGGTCTAATTGACACCATCTCCTGATCTTACTTGACAAATTCGGAGAGAGCTAAAGTGTCGGTATAGATGCCATCAGCAGCACTGGTCCTGGAGATCTGTTTAACCACCACACTGTCTGGATTCTGAAACACACACACAAACAGGTATATATACATATACATATAACCTACAATTTAACCTGATATCACAGAAATATTATCAAAACCCATGACTCATTGTGTCTGCAAACGTATCACACTGCACCTGAAGAAGATCGAAAAAATCTTCAGACTCTCTTTTGGCATTATGCTCATCGTTTTTGCCTTGTGAGCATCCTTATGTGCTCCTGTTTCAATTAGCAACAACCAACAAAAAAAACAATTTACAAGTGATATAAAAGAGAAGAGCAAATCCTCAAAGCCTGTTTTTGCTAGCCTAAATGATTATTTAATTACCAAAATAATGTCTGCTTGATTGTTAATCAACTAATTGGTTAAATGACCAGTGTGTATGATTTAGTGGCATTGAGCAGTGTAGTTGCAGATGATCCTCTTCCAAGCAAACTACGGTGGCTGCAAAACAGCCCTATCAAGAGCCAGTGTTTGGTCTGCTACTGCAAGAACATGGCGGCTCACAGCCTCGGTAGATAAAAACAACCTCATTCTAAGGTAACAAAAACAGTTCTTATTTTCAAGTTATTATACACTAATGAAAACATACTTATGAATATCGTATTCCATTTCTTCCAATCGATCCTCCTTACCTGGATATCTATTGTGACAGAGCTGTCAAAGGACTTAAAGGATGTAGAGGACGCAAAGGCTCTGAACCGAACTGGAGAGGGAGAGAGAGTGACACAACTATTCAAGCTTTAATTTTCATGATTTGTACACCAGTCTAACAATAGTTTCACTTCTTGTATTGAAATGTCTTTTAAAAATACAGTCCTCATCAACCAAACTTGACCAGCAGTTTAAACCCTACTCGTTTTACACTTATGCTTGGTGGTTGTTTTGTGTCATTCATGTACCATTAACTTGTTTTCATCAGTCTCCTCAGTGCTTACCAGTATCTCCAGGGTTATAGATGGGCTTGTCTGTCTGGATGAAGATGTATCCAGAGTGAAAGGACACCATCAGTATCCTCTCCTCAGAGTGGAAGCCCCCAAAGGTCACCTTCAGATAAACAAACTTGTTCGTCTTCTCTTCGCGGTTCAGACGATCAGAGGGAAGCTGGGATCGGATACAGGATGTTGTTTAGAATCAGGAAAGGCATCATAATGAGGATGACTCTCCTCTCACTGTTTCGCTTTTAAATAATGCTGCTATGATCCTATTAAGTCATCATGTTATAAATAGGTATTTTTTAGGTGAGTCACCTGTATAGTCTTGAGAACATGGAATCCATTTTCCTGATTGAGTGTGACAGAGTCTTCGAGGAGCGTTGTGGTCTTTCCGAAGTCCTTGATGGATATGGAAACGGTGATGGGGTTGGACACACCATCTGCCTGGAGGTAGATGTTCTCCTGGCTGTCTGTCCTCAGCAGGTCTGGAGCCAGCAAGGTGAACCTGCAGGAAAACACCACAAAAAGCAAAGTATTCATTCCCCGGGTATGTAGATATAAAGTCAAACTTGATTTCAGAGCTCCTACAGTATCCTAATCAGTTTATAGGCAGGATCAAACAGGTAACTGCATTCTCTTATTAAGTTTGATGTATGTGTGAGAATAAAAGTGCAAATCCTACAATAGAGGTAAAACAATATATGGAGTAAAACTTAACCAATCCTTTAACTAGCAGCAGTTAGATTATTGTATTAATGGTTGTACGATCGGGCATTCAAATGTACCTTGGTGCAGTACTAACTGTCTTCCGCTCTGGTATTCTGCAAATAAAAAGGGCAAGTATTAATCATGAGTCACGACAGAGCACTGCCAACTAAGGCAGGGATAAAATAAACATGGCGTTAGAAGTCACAGGGTATTCAGCTTCAGTATAGTAACGTATGAAAATGAACACGAGGAGAGGGGGAAAAGAAGTGACATTTGTGTGGGGATAAATCCCTTCTACTGAAAGGAAAGAAAAAGGAATGTATGTAGTCTTCAATCTGTTCCTGGCAAACACAGTGTATCCCATCACATAAATGTTACAACTAAAGAGGCTAACAATAAAAATAAATCATTATTCTGAGTTTCACAGGAGAAATGAAATCATTATCTTTCTGAAATGATGTGCCACCATGACAAGAGTGGAAAACAGATATCTGAAAGATGGTCAGCTACCACTAAGCTCTAATAATTAGCAGAGGTGAATTAATCAAAGTTAATCTCATTTTATATTAAGTTCAGTTTTGGTTACTTACTCATGGAGGTCCCAGTATCTGCCTATTGGTGTAAATCTGGGGAAAAGATTTAGAAAATAACAACTTAAACTATCAGAAACTAGGTTGCAACTGATGACCTCAGTGCACACACACACACACACACACACACACATACATACATACCTGTCTCGCCAGGGGGGTCTGTAAAGAACATAATTTGATTAGTAAACACAACCTCAAAGATAGAAACTGTCCCAACAGTCAGCAGAAAACAGAAAATTTACCTTCTTATATTGTCAAACTGTCCATTGGCGTGGCAAATAAGCACAAGAAATAAAATGCTGTGCAGCGTCCACCGACCCATGTTGACTGACTGGGACCTTCAGTGGACTGTGGTCAGGAGAGAGAGAGAGAGAGTCAACTACTATATGAGCCCAAAGCCCCCCTCCTACCTCATCAAACAATCTACAGTCAACAGGAAGAGGAGGAGCCACGGTTTCTGATCAATAACAACAACCAGACACAAAAACACACAGCAGGATTGTGGGTCGGCAAGCTCGCCGTCTGCTGCCAAACTACCAGGGGTCCTTGATGGAGCCCGAGCTTTAAAATGTGGAAAGCTTTCATTTCTGATGCACTTAAATCGTTGCATGCAGCTTGGCATACTACGGAGCCCCTTAAGTCCCCAAAAGGAAATATTTTTATCTTGTGCACACAAGTTATTTATCTTATTGCTTTGTAAGCATGTTTGCTGATTTCTCAGTTTGAAACATTGCTATGTTTATTGCTTTTTCAGATTTCAGCAAGAATTTCATGGTATGACATTCTGAGGTGAAAATAAAACTTGATAAGCTGAGTTCTCTCCATTATGTGACAGCTGTGTGCATTCAAAGCCATTAGAGCTGCATATGAATTTATGTAAATAACCTGTGTGCACAAGTTATTTATCTTGTGCGCAGAAGATACAAATATTTCCTTTTGGGGACTTCAGGGGCTCCATAGCATACTGAATATTTAAGGATGAAGATTTCTGTGCCCAGAACGATGCCCACTAGAGGGCAGTACTACCACTTTATTAGCGATGACCTAAAATGATTCTTTATGCTCATTACGTAACTACCCACAGTGCATTTCTGCACTATAAATTCTCCAGCAACAGATATATCACCCATATCACAACCACACAGATCAGGTCACTTGTTTCACATGATTGGACCCTCGGGACTGTGTGGGTCTGTACAGACTGCGCTTGATTGACATTTGTGTAACTTATAGGACAACTTAATTATACACCATATTTCTAAGAACGTAGAGACTGGTGGCATCATGGCATTTGAGCCTTGTACTTTCCGATTTCTACTCAGCAACAATAACTGAAAATACCCATGTGGATGTGCAAGGCCCTTTTACACATAAAGCTCAACCCCAAATCACAGCACTGTTAGAGAAGTATATAAAAAATATACAAGTTCGTGGTGAACACTAGAATTTACTCTCTCTCGATGTGCCAAATTTACCTGACCACTCAGACTGGAAAAATCATTAAAATCAGAGGATGCTACTCTTGTTAAAAGATTTAGTTTTGTCTTTTGGTGAATTAGCACACTGGAGCATAACTTTTAAATTGCTTTTAGCTGGACAAGTTTCTCTGCTCTATAATACTTTTCTCTGTTGCTGAATGTAGGTTGGCAGTTTTGCTCTTTGATTTTGAGTCTTAAGTAGATGTGATGTAAACAGTTGAAACAATATGTAATGTTCAGGTAACACACGACAACAGTTTAACAGTATTTTATACAGTAAATAACACAGGGTGCCTGACAGTTTTGTAAGATCAAACGTGTGGGATTCAATCAAAATACCATCAGATAACAGTTGCAGTGTTTTAACAAAGGCCTTATTAACAGGATCCATTATCATATGACACATTCATGACGGAGCTTCCTGCAGACCACAAAGCTTAAAATTAAAATCTTATTCCACACATTGTTTTAGAGCACAGAATATTGAAATAAAACCAGGCAGGTGCGTTAACCACTTTTTTTTAAGTTAAAAGCAACACAAGTTACAGCTGATGCCTGCGGCTCTGAAAAACATCTCCAGTTTGTTTCACTTTCACAAAATGACTTCCACTCACTGGGAACAGAAACTGTCCCATTTAGCTCATCCTTCAGCCTCAGTGTCCAGGGTCTGAATCTGAGTCACTGTAGTCTGCCACTAGGGATGTGATAGTTGCTAAAGGTCTTTCCGGTTCCTTCTCCTTCCCAAAGTCTTTAGTTAGTCCTTTATCTGCTTCCGTAGTTTCGGCATGTGTCTCCCTGGAGCCACCGCCATTTGTTTGTGCTATCTCCTGTCCCACCTGCTCTGGTGCTATACTTGGGGCTTCTTGTCTCTGTGCGACCTTCTCTCCATCACATGAATGTCTGCGAGTGATGGTGGCGCAGGGCTCGGTTTTGATTCCCGGTCCTCCTACGCGTTTGCGGATCAGGGGGCTGTGCGAGGAGCCCAGGGCTTTGGCCACTGCCGCTTCTTTCCCCTGCAGGCCGAGCTTATGGAGCAGACTGCCCGAAGGACTTCCGGGCGGGGCTGAGGTGGCGTTGAACCACGAACGAGAGGAGATCTCTTTCCGCTTGCTGTGCTGCTTGTCGTCATAGGCTGGGAAAGAGGAGGGGATGTGGAGAAGTCTTTAAACTTGGCTGTTTACATGCATGTACATTAAAAAAATGTATGTTTAAGACACTGACACACATAATTTTGGTTCCTTTAGAATATCTGATACCTACAGTCGGGTGCCTGGTAGGTGAGCAGTGCTGCCAGTTTCTTGTCCTCCTCCTTCTCTGGCAGCAGCGGGATGGACAGGTTGGTCCTCATCCTCACTGTGTTGTCCTTCTCCTCCTGGTCAGCCAGAACTTTCTTCTCCGTCTGCACCGCCAATTAAAGCCGTCAGTTCAGTGACATAACACAATCTCAAAGAAACCTGATCCTGGCATTACTGCTTCATATAATCATGTTCTGGTTATTATTTTGTCTTCTCTGGACTCATTCTGTGTCACTGGTGTTTGTACTAACATGACAGGAACATGACAAAATTGTAGTTTTTGCCTAACCTTCTTTTTCTTTTTAACTGATGATGAATATGATGTTAGGTAGCATTAATACAGCAGTTATCAACACAAGCGGTCACTATCCTACCCTGAACTTCCTGCGGAGGGTGCTGTTGAGCTGGAAGTCGTCCTTCCAGCCGGACTTGTGGTCTTGGATCTCCGACAGAGAAGGCAGAGCCTTCTTGAGCTTCTCCTTGTCTTTCCCACCGTGGTCAAGCTTGAACATGGCATCCGTCTCCAGCTTTTCTTTCTCTGTCCGCTCTGCACAGACAGACGGAGGAGAGTAAAAGTTGATCAGGTACCAAAAACAGGCATGCAAAGGAAAAAGCTGTTGGCAGAAGCAGACTGTCTCCTCGTGGAAAATAATATGAACCCTGAAAAGAAAAGCCTAAAGACATCTCCACTGTTTGAGATGAGCTGTGCACTTCACATTGTGCAATCAAAACAAAAACCCCTTTGTGTCATTGTCGTGGTGCTGACTTCCAGCCTTAATTGCTCCACCAAGAAACAAAGCAGTGAACTGAGCAAGTCCTTTATCTTTTGATTGATAACAAACATAAATCCTAACCTGTGGTGAGGATCTGCTCATTCTCCGCCATGTCCCAGCGTTCCTCCTTCCTGTTTGCCCCGCTTACTATCACATAGTCGCAGGTTGCCGGATCTGTCTGCATCTCAATGTAGTTGACACACAGATGGCACTTCATCCTAAACCTGGTCAGACAAAAACATTTTTTTATATCTGATTTTTTTTTTGCATTTTAGATGAAGTTTTAAATCACCTTCTCAGAGGTGAACTGCGCCACCCATCTAGAGTGAGAAGTTTACCCAGTCCGTCTGCGTTTACCTGTAGATTGGCGTGGTGTAGTAGTTCCCCACTTTCTTCTTCTCGGCATTGTAACGGACCCCTGTACAAGCAGAACACAAGTGTCATGGAAGTGCAAAGACGCTGTATGGGACTGAACCGGACTAAATGGGTCGCGTTTTTTCTTCAAGCTTACCCATGCCAATGTGATTTTTGCAGCCATCACACCAGATGTTGTAGGGCATCTCAAACCTTAATGGACAAAAACACAAACACACAGGTTACCATTACTCCCTGTCTTTATCTTGGAAGGTCTCGCATTAAATGTTTTTATTACTCCAGCCAATGTCAACTCAGCATTTCTGTATGTGTGTGTGTGTACTAACCTGATGATGAGGATGCCCTGGGACAGTTTCCTGGCCCTCTCCCGCAGAGCGTGAGTTTTATGGTAGCCGTTGAGGGATCCATGCTGAAGACAAAGAATGATGGAAATGTGAGTCGGGATCTAAACGCAAAAAAGGTGAACTAAAAATACTGACACACACTGGCCTGTGTGACCGTACACACCTTGGCTGGATCAAAATCTGGAGGGTAGTATTTGTTTGTTCCTTTTCTTTCACCCTGTCCAAAAAAAAAAAAAAAAACGGTACAAAAGTTCAAACAGAGTATTCAAACATGACATCCTTGTGATTTTGTGTGTCTTGACAAACACAGGTAACACGTAATGGCTTACCATGTTGACGACTGGATCTCCCCCACACCCGTAATGGAGTCACCCTTTTTTTTCATGAGATAAAAAAAGAAGTCAAGTCACCGACACCATACTGTAATACTAACAGTTAGACTACATGTAAACACACATTTATAAATACTAAGTAACCGGTCTATTAGGTCCATTTAGAAAGAACTGAGGCTTGGGGTTGAATCGTACGGAGTAATAGTGATAGGTAGTTATATCTTCTTGTCCACCCGATTTATTTAGCTCCGTCTATCCAGTGAACTGGTGCAACAGAGCGGGTATAGTTGTATGTATAGTTTAGGCCAATGCAATTGCCTAACATTAGTTAATTTCCCCTTTAGTTGCCGCTTTAAAAGGATCAGTATGGAGGATTTAGTGACATCTAGCGGTGCATCTGCAGACTGCAACTAACTGAACACTGCTCGCGTCTGTATGTGATGACCTGGGAGTGAGAACTGAAGTGTGTAGGAGAAACTAGGGTGGCCGCAACACTCGTTAAAAACTACAAATCTACAGCCAGTGTTTGGTTTGTCCATTCTGGGCCACTGTAGAAACAAGACCCGCAGCGTCTTTGGATAAAAAAAAACGCGAAGGTTCCTAGGTTGTATCCAGGTGATTCTACACTAAAGTAAACATAGCAATGGGGATTATATTCCCTCCTAAATGTTACTCTTAACTCTACGTTAGAACCGATTTAATTCTAATTTAAGATGTGGAAACGGAAAAAAAAAAAAAAAAAAAGACTGACGTTGGTTGAAAATGTAGAATCTGTTATTGACCCAAAACAAAAGCTCAAATATAACTTATAACCACATTAAGCGTTGTAACCTCAGCAATCATTCCCCGAACAAAGTGGAGCTAACACGGCTGTGTAACTTTAATGTGAACGAAGACGATAACATTAGCATTAGCGTCCCCCTTCGTGCGACTGGAAGCTGAATGAGAGCACACTAAACCAGTTTCAGATTTCCTAAAAGCGCTGCTGTCATGTTTACTCTTAAAATAAACGTAAAAAAAAAAAACTTACAAATGTTCTTTTAAGCTGCAGCAATAGCCACCTAACGCTAACGTTAGCTAGCCAAACATTCAGAGGGCCGTCGGTTTCTTCTTCGTCGGGTTATAATGGCAGCTTGTCGGCGCATTACTGCCACCTGCTGGACTGGAGCGGGGAGCAGCAGATTGGCCGATAAAGAGTATAAAACAAACTAAATTCGCTCTATTATTTTCAAATAATTCTTAAAAAGATTGTGTACTTTTGCATTTTGTCTTCTCCAAGTATATTCTCCGATCTTCTTCTGGAAAGATAATGGCCTCTTTTGGGTGCGTACCGCCACCTGCTGGACTGGAGTATGTACCAACACCTCATTTATACCAGAGGGCACGGTGGGTAGCGTCGCGAAGACGTCACGTTGCAGAGGATTGTGGGAAGTACCGGTGTCAAAACAGAAAGCGTGTTCGGGGGGAAAACGTCGTTAAACGTTGTATCAGCTGTTAGAAAGTCAATGCCGCAGCAATGGAGGCTGAAACCGGGCCGCTCAAACGTTACATCTGCTCGTTCCCCAGCTGCTCGGCGGCCTATAACAAACAGTGGAAGCTGGACGCTCATCTGTGTAAACACACCGGAGTGAAGCCGCACACATGTGAGCGCGACGGCTGCGGTAAGTCGTTCTGTAGTCCCTACCACTTGGCGCGGCATGATCTCAGTCACAGCGGCGTGAAGCCCTTTCAGTGCTCCGTGGACGGCTGCGAGGAGGCCTTCACCACCAACGCCAACCTGGCCAGGCACATCAGCCGCATGCACACGCAGGAGCAGAAGAAGTATGTGTGCAAGTTCGAGGGCTGCGGTCTCGAGTTCAAGAAGAACAAGCAGCTGAAGTCCCATGTGTGTGAGCAGCACACCCAGCTGCCACCTTACCAGTGCACTTATGAGGGATGCCAAATGCGATTCACCTTCCCCAGCAAGCTGAAGCGACACGAGAAGGTGCACAGAGGCTACCCCTGCAAGGAGGAGGGCTGCAGCTTCACGGGAAAGACCTGGACCGAGTACCTGAAGCACAGGAAGGAGCAGCATAGGCTCACGGTGAAGTGCGACCAGTGCAGCAAGGTCTTCAGGGACTCCTGGTTCCTGCAGCAGCATCAGCACGTCCACTCCGAGATGCGGGTGGTCTTCAGGTGCCCGAGGGACGACTGCGAGCGGTCGTTCACCACAACTTTCAACCTGGAGAGCCACATCAGCTCCTTCCACGAGGAGCTGCGGCCCTTCAGCTGCTCCCACGCAGGCTGCGGGAAGACCTTCGCCATGAGACAGAGCCTCCACCGTCACAGCGTGGTCCACAGCCCGGAGAGGAAGAAGCTGAGGAAGCCTAAAGCCAAAAGATCTCTTGCTTCCAGGCTAACGGGTTACAACGAAACAAAGAAGGTGGTGTGTAAAAAGCGCAGGGAGCCTGAATCCCTCAGAGTGCCTGCACAGAATCAGACCGGTCCACCTGGGCCTGTTGAGTTGGTGTCCCTCCTGCAGGACACGTCCTTGCTGTGCGGCCCTGCTGTAGACACACACGGACTTACTAATGCCATAACTACACCTCTGACAATGTAGAGTGAAGTGAAGGAGATCGTACCAGCAGTATGAGGACAGCAGTTATTGATCAGAGCACTGATGATGTGTTTTCATTTCCAACCTGGTTGTTGGATGTCTTGATGTTGCACAACATTTAAGCCCCCATGTAAAAGCCTATAAAGTTCCTTATTTTGGACACTGTGACTAAGTTGGACCTGAAAATGAAGACGTCACCCAGCACAGCTAAAAGACATTTTGGATTGGTACCAAATCCTCGTCTTCCGTCCTTCTGGGTGTCGTCATCCGCAGTTATTCTCTGTAGTTGAATACATTTGTGGACTTTTCCTGAAGCCATTAAATCTACTATATTTTTTGCTATTTGTATTTTAAGAAGAAAAAATATGTATTTTGTCTATGTTGTAAATAATATAAGAATTGATTAATAAGAATTGTTTTGTGTGTTTTTGTAAAATGTCCCCAAAAAAAATCCCTCCGCAGAGAGACGGTGTTTGTTTAAATAAAACCTGTGCCGGTCTTGAAGAATGTATTTTGTGTTAGTATTCATTGCTTTTTTGAATCGGTTAGGCCTGATAGATAGATAGATAGATAGATAGATAGATAGATAGATAGATAGATGATAGATAAAAATTGGGTCGTCATAGCAGCCAGGTACATTTAAATATAATAAAACTTTGGCTGTGTATGGTGTTAAACTCCTAAACCTTACAATATGTCCATTTAAAAGTTAATAAAATGTTGTGGCAGGATTGTTCAGCAATGCTATATATACAAATATATTTCTAATAGGTAAACAAAGAACTATCTTTGTTCAGCTTAGTTGTTGTTTTTCGCTCTCTTCTTTCTATCCTACTTGTTTTTTGAGCTGTGTGTAAAATTGAGAGCTTAAAACCAGAGTTAGATTCCCTGTATGTGTGCATATACTGGGCGGCTGTGGCTCAGAGGCAGAGCGGGTCATTCCTTAATTGGAAGGTTGTGGGTTCGATCCCCGGCTCCTGGTGCCACATGTCGAAGTATCCTTGAGCAAGATACTGAACCCCAAATTGCTCGTGATGCTGTGCATCGGTGTGTGAATGTGTATGAATGTTTCTGTTCGATGGACTTTGCCATCACTGAGTGAATGTGTGTGAAAGGGTGAATGTGTCACGTAGTGTAAAAGCGCTTTGAGTAGTCGGAAGACTAGAAAGGCGCTATACAAGTACAGGTCCATTTACCATACTTGGCCATTAAAGCTAATTCTGATTCTTAACAATGAATGTTATTATCAAAGATGATAAAAGATAACTAATTGTTGAGAAGTATACTTAATTGGAAATAAGAGTATACTGTAAATACACTTTAAAACTGGAAGGAAACTGGCAAGATGTATGTGAAACACATGTAACACATAATTTAGTACACTACGAATTCTCTTGAATACTTGCCAACATATACGTATGTTAATGACGATTGTCTGCACTTTATTCTGTTTGTGTCAATGGGGTTTTTAAAATGGCAGCTATAACTGACCATCAACAGGCTTTCACTAAATCCCTAACTGTACTAAAGCCATTACATTTCACTGACCACATGCTGTAACTGCGACACCCCTATCCACTTAGGTTTGTGTACCTTTGGTCTGGGGTTGATTTGCATCGTTTGAACCTCTGTGTTCCAAAATCTTTGATATTTCAGGCGAGTACTGTGTTTCCAACTTTGTGGCAACAGTTTGGGTAAACCTGCTTCTTGTTTCCTCAATGCTCCTGTTGCAATTACACATTCAACAATTACGTTAGGGTGAGACGTTCTGATCTACACATACTGCACTTTGTTTTGGTGGTTCATGTCCTCCTGGTCCTGGAGTCTCCAGCTGATGTCACTGACTTGCACATCTGCAACCAAAGAAGGATGTGTGTGTGTGTGTGTGTGTGTGTGTGTGTGTGTGTGTGTGTGTTGTCACTGAAATAACCTGCTGCACAGATTGGCTGGAGTGAAAACCTGCAGATTCTTCTGCCTCGATGACACACGGTATCTCAGTTCTGACAAACACATTTACGGCGTAAACAGGAGCAGTTCCTTGCGAGTTTAAGATTCCGAGGCTAAATCCTCTCCGAATAGTTCCCGTTACAGGAAGGCTGCTCCCTACATTCCTGCCCCGCTCAGTTCAGACGAGCCCTATATGGACTGACTGTCTGACCAGCTCACCCAGGAATGCACAGTAGACCTCATCCAATTAGTAGTCATACATTTTAAATGTAACATGTAGTGTCCTGAAATTGTTTCCTCTTTTAAAACATTACTACACGGCTGTTGGAATGATACAACCTGAATTCATCATGTGGCGCAAACTCCCAGAGTTGTCTTGGTTAGTTCACTGCGGAGACGCTGACAGCTTACAGTAACACTGCAATCAAAAATACACAGAAACACAAGTCTTAAGGCAGGGGTCTCAAAGTCAGATCGGCTTGGGGACACTGCTGGTGTTATCGTCTCATAGGAGGGCCACTTCAACACTGAAGTACTGCAAGTAAGAGCAATATTTAGAAAATATTCTCCTTACTAACATCTTCCTTAACAAAAATGCCAACAGAATTTTGTATACATTTCCATTTCATAATTTATATAATCTTTACCTGTTCTAGTTTTACCTCTCTATATCTGTTTTGGCATGAACTCTACATTTAGCCCAGTCATGTCTGAGTCTCTGCAGTCTGGCTGCATGTAAACACAAAGTGACTTGAGGTAAACCTGAACATCTTATCTTAAAGGACTTCAGCATAAAGAAAAAATCCTTACAGGCTATGTACTTAAAAAAAAAAAAGAACATTATGTGAGGTACAGGTAGGTAGGTACAGCAGGTCTCTGTATAAGCGATACATTTTTAATAAAGGTCAAAAAGGAAACAAGTTAGTTCTGGAGGTTAAAAGTCCCTCAGAATTAAGAAAAATAGTCCTTGCATAAGCTAAAACCAATAAGGGAGCATGGAACCACCATATTTCGTTTTTATTTTATTTGTCTGAAGTGGAGGATTTATTTTCCTTCTTCTGACAGAAGGGATAGACAAACAGAAAGCAGTATAAAATATATATTTTTGATGTATGTCTGCTTCATGAGACTAAATATATGTGCTGAACGTGCAGGAATGCACCAGAGGAGACAGAGCACCGGGAGGAGTGATTCTCCCCTTAAAGATCTATGATGCCTTGAGAAAGATTTAAAAGTAGACTAGAAACCAGACGGTTGTGACATTTATATAGGGAGCCGAAAGCAGCCCAGAGTTTGGAAAAGCTGCAACGTCACTGTTGAGAAAGCTGAGCCACCGGGAAGAAAGTGGGTTGGAAAAATAACAGTCGAGAGGAATGTTTGTGTCTTATATAGAGAATTATGTTATAAATGATACTGTATATTTCTAGTATCGCAGTATCCCATTTGTTATAGAAGACCATGAAGCTGTGCCGTGCTTTGAGCTAAAGGCTAACATGCTCAGAAATCACATGCTGATGTTGAGCAGGTGTAATTTACCATGTGAACTATCTTAATTTAGCATGTTAGTATTCAAACATGGGCTAATTAGCACTAAAAACAAAAGTACCTTTGTGGTGATGAGAATTTCATTAGTTTATAATATAGCAGGTATTTGACCAAAAACTGAAACAAATAGACCTTTTTCACAGCAGCCATTTTGTACATGAAATAGTAGGGTACGTTTGTTTCCTATGATACTAACTAAGGTTTTGTTCCATTAGTGTAGCAGAGCCTTTCCAGTGAGCCAACATGCACATAAGCAGCACCCTGACTCTGTTTGACCTGAATGGAAGCAAACCTTTATTAGTATCATTGTGTAGATCTGTGTGAGTATCTGGATGAGATTTCCATGCAACCCATTGAATAGCTGCAGAGATATTTTAGCGTGGATCAAAGCGGTGGGTCCACTGACCAACCGACAGAACCCGTCCCTAGAGCCATGCTGCTAGCACGGCTAAAAACCTAATATATATAGTGGATGTGTAAACCAATGACATTGTTATCTGAGAGTTTAGATATTTCCACCCAAACGTGCCCCACTTGGTTTTGCAATATCAATTCCCGCCTGAGGAATAGGTGACACTCTTTCACATCTGGCTGGGTGCACCACTGTATAAAAATGTTTTGTTTTTTTACAGAAATTGATGCCGCGTTCTTTCCATTCCTGTCTTCTGACAACCCAGGATTCCAGACTGGTTCTTTAGGCGATAATCCAAAGGGATTGCTCTATCTCCACTGTATTTCTCCCACCACCTCCTCCGCTTTCCTTCTGTCTTTTCATTTCTCGCTTGGCCTTCATCCCCCTGTCTCTTTGAGAGGTGGAAGGAATGTGTGAGGCCCTTTGCCCTTTCGTGTTCTTGTTTTCCATACAAATTACCGGGAAATGGACGCTCTCCGTGATAATAATTGCGCTTGCTTGAGGACAGCTGAGTTAGGCAGAGCTCTTATTGTTTTCAACTGTTTCAATGAAGGTCTTTTTTTTACCTAATCTGCAGAAATGAAGAAGGTCACATGCCCAATATTATCTCACTATCCAATCCAATCCAATCCACTTTATTTATATAGCACGATTTTAACAAACACAAGGTTTCCAAAGTGCTGCACAAAAAGATATACAGAATAAATAGATAACACAATAGAAGCACAATAAAAAAAAAAAAAGATGAAGTACACAGTAAAAGATAAAAGCAATAAAATAAAAATAAAATAGAATAAAATAAGTAAAATAAATAAAATGCACTGCCCGCACAAGATAAAAATATGCATGTATACACATAAAATCAAAGTTCTACATGGTGTCAAAGGCCGAAGAAAAGAGGTGGGTTTTAAGCAGCTGGTCAGCTGACCTGAGAGATCGGCTGGGAGTGTAGGGGTGCAGCAGCTCAGAGAGGTAAGGTGGGGCAAGGCCATTCAAGGCTTTAAAAGCAAATAAAAGAATTTGAAAATGGATGAACGGGCAGCCAGTGGAGTGAAGCTAAAATAGGTGAAATGTGCTCAGTTAAAAGACGTGCAGCAGCATTTTGTACCAGTTGAAACACTACAAAGAAGACTATTGAGAAGGTCCGCTAGAGTACCTGCGTGCAGTTCTCAGTGGTCTTCTTCTGTATTTATTGTGACCCCAGACTATAGAGGAGAGGTCCAGTGATTCAGGTTTGGGTCCTAAAACCCATTCATTAGCTTGTTAAAACCACTCAACCTTTTATATTTCATTCTCTAGGATAAAATTAATGTCCCTTTTGTGAGTCTTGAAAATATATTTTTTTTCTCCAACAAATACAAATACAGATAAATAAGGACTTACAACTGTATATAACTGTATAACAGAAGTTACACAAGTAGAATACTGAAATAAAGCAAGAAGAAAGTATTTTGGGTCAAATTTGCTCAAGTTGGAATTAAACGTGGAGCAGGCTATAACTGAGGAAGAGTCATATTTCATTTTAATGTCTAATTTAGTGCAGTCTCAAAAACCTGATCCTCGAAAGAATTATTGAAATTCCTAGCAGTAAATTTCGTTGGCCATTATGAGTTCAAGATTTAGGGATGATTCCTTTGTAATTCATATCAACAGAGCTATAATACATGAGAAATGGGGCTGTTTAAATATAATAAATAAGCTTAAAATCTCATTGGACACACTCCTCATGTCTAAATATAACTAAGTGAAGCCAGGAGTCAGGCATTAACAAAATGCAGTAGAGCTACGTTCTTTGTTTTGAATACTCTATTAATCTCCTGCATCGTAGCGTATATTTCATTTCATATTTTTTAAGCTTTTAATCTTTTGTTTTCTCACTTTCATGTTCCAACCCCCCTTTTCTCTTTTTGATTTTACATGTCGTGTCTAATACTATTTTAATGATCAATGTGTACTGTCCCTGTAGAAGGTATCTATGTATACGTAAATATCCTCAATGTACTCGATCAGTAATTTTTGTTCATATGTGACTTAGACCTGTTTTTTTCATGACAGTGTGAACAGCAAAATTCCCATTGAAATCTGACCTTTTCAAGTTCTGCTTTGGCCACTTTCATATGTGGTCAACTCAGATATACAGTAGGTCTTTTTGCAATTGTGAACAGTCATATCAGAATTCATGTGACTTTTGCATAACTCTAGATCAACATTCTTCACAATTCTGAGCCACACTTCAGACCTCATAAGTATTTGGGATGATACTGCACATCAACTGATAAAAGAAACTGTATATGTTGTCTTCAGTGGCCTCCGTGTTTACTCCCCGCGTGTATGATGTAATTTTGTGCTTGTGGGTGAGTCCAGGACCGGGACCTGTTCACACTGGACTCTGATATGGGCCAGGTTTTGAAAAATAATGTGAACAGCCAAACAAAGCAAAACCAGAGCTGAGTGCTAAGGCTTGTAGTGTGAACGTGTCTTTTCTGTGTATCTGGGCCACATACAGTGTTTGGAGAAACTCCCTTATAAATTTAACTGGTAACTAGACTAAATCCAACTTGCAAACCGACTATAGGTAACAGCTAGGGGAAGGAAGTAGATGAGGAGAGTAAATGAATGTCCCTCTGTGATACACAACTGACACTAACTAACTGTATTGTCTTAAATGGGCAAATCTCTTCCCCAATATCCAAGTAGGTATCATTTAGTTATAATCATAATCATTTCTTTTTGTTATGGCTTTTACCCGCTGTCAAAAAGTTTAAGAAATAAGCGAAAAAACCTGCTCATGGGGCGCTGTTAATGTTGCAGCCCCATCACTCCACCATCTCTCTCCCCTTTGCATGTCCACAAGTGCATGAAGTGTGCATTTCAGCCTGTGTGTGTATAAAAAAGAGTGAAAAGAACAATTTCCCCTAGGGGATCAATAAAGTATATCTTCTTCTTCTTCTTCTTCTTCTTCTTCTTCTTAATAAGAGATTTATTATCATCATCTATCATCCCTTTCTGTCCAGTAATATATTTACTGTACAAGCAGGCTGAGAATGCACAGAAAGAACAGAACTGTGAAACTGTGAAATACAATCGAAGGACCGTTTCATTTTCTGAGAAGTGAAAGTTTTCTAGGTATTTGTGGGACATAAAAAAACAGCCGAACAGATACAGAGTTACTTTCAAATGTTTATCAACTCACAAATGAATTCGGTTTCAGTTCATATTTTCAGTTACATCAGTTGCTAAATGAGGTGCGCTGAGGTGTTAGACCTGCACCTGGATGGCAGAAACAGGCTCCAAATATGCACTTTCTCGGAAACTCCAAATTCCATTCACTGCCTGTTTGGGCCCTATAACAGTTACATAATGCATATTCTACATATTCTACATGTCAGCCACACATTGCTGATAAAATCCCTCAATTTATGGACCAGCTAAAGACGAGTCACCCATTGTGGAATGTCTGCTGAAACAGGCCCCGTTGTGTTCTAATTATAACCTGACTTCCCTTTCTTCTGTGGTGTTTAACCTTTTAAAGCTTTTTAAAGATGAAACGTTTACGATAAGAAGAAGTGTCAAAAGCAAAAGGCAACAGGGGCCTATTTTAAGACATTCCACTATGACTCATCCTGGCTCATACCGCGCTTCTTCCTTTACATTTCCTACATGGATCGTGTTTGTGTTTATGTATTGATAAAGTTTATCTCTTGGCTGCCTTTCCACTTCCATGTGTGTCTAGCTATCTATCTACTGATTCATTTATCACACATACTTCTCAGCATCATCAATGTGACATCATTGTCCACTCACAGCTTTTAAGAAACCCCAAACCTCTGCGAATCCATATTGCCAGGGGCCAACATCCTCTGGAAAAACATCTGGGAGAAACTCAACAATAAGACTGTGATTTACACCAATTAGATAATCCCAACAGGACAAATTCTGGGTCAAGCGCCCGCCTGCCCTCCTACGCTCCCTGTCAGGCTCAGGTGAGTGGGATAGTCTGTTGGCAAGTAACGGGTTAGTGTCTGTCTCCCCCCTACACCTCCTCACCTCATCCCTTCACCCCCCCTTCATCTCCGAGGGCTATATATTGGAGGTTGTGACTCGTCTGCATCTTAAGCATCACTTGCACCCGCAGACACTCGCAGACATACAAACACACACGTGTCTGGTTCACTTTGAGCGACGGTTCAGACGGAGAGCAGACTCTAGCGATGAGGTCCCTGTTGAAGCTGGTTGTGATTCTGTTTTGCGTCCAGAGAGGAGAGAGCCACTTGCTGAGATCTCTGATTGGTAAGTGCTGGCTGAAGAGAAGGTCGTGACCTATGACCTTTTGGCTAAAATCTGATTTTTGCTTCCTTTGAGGGCAATGTGTTCAATTTTGTGTCTAGACTTGGATGTGTCTTACTTTTTTTTTCTACCTCTCAGTAGTTACTATGTTTCTGGTTAAGAGTACAACTAACTGGTGTGTAAATGTGGGCTGGGGTAAAGCTTGAAATTTTGCTGTCAATTAAGAGTATTTCTATACATGTTTACCAGTGCTTTTGAACATCAGATGTATAGATAACCCTTTCTGCCTTTCCCAGGTCAGAAACAAGAAACAGCATCTCCACACACGTCACCCAACGATGACAAGAGAAGCAGACATTCAGCAGACGACTCAACAGAAGCTTCTGGAGCCGGGCCATCACCCGACCCCATGATCCCGATCCCAGTCCGCTCACGGCGCTCTACACTAGACTCCCAGTGCGGCCTGCGCTCCATCCTGCTGCAGGTTCGAGACCTCGGGCTGGGCTACGACTCAGACGAGACCGTCCTCTTCAAGTACTGCAGTGGGACGTGTCCCCACGTTCGCTCCAACCACGACCTCACCCTAACCAACCTGCTGCTAAGCGGGGTGCTCCCTCAACCAGTGCCTGGGGAGCTGTGGCACAACGCGCCCTGCTGCAGGCCCACCGACCACGAGGACATGGCCTTCCTCGATAACTCGCACCGCTGGCACAAGGTGGAGAAGCTGTCGGCTGCGGGCTGCAGCTGCGTGGGCTAGACAGCCGAGCGCAGACGGCTGAAGGGGGGGAGGAGAGAGGGTGTATGATGGTTTGTGAGGACAAGGGGATTCTGAGAGGACAAGTTTGCTGGCAGGTTCTCTTGTAATGTCTATAAATGAAGAGTTTAATTCCAAAATGACACACCGTAGAGGAAGCTTAAACCCATTCTTATGAAGTTATTTATGTTAAAATCAATGAGCACAGAATTAAGCTATTTTCCCTTTCACTTTTGGGTGAAAACCTCATGAATCCAGTTTTGTTGGTTTAAATGATTTGACTTCAACTCGTGATCTCATGAGCTTCATCGGATTAGAAGTTTATTACTTTTGGCATTTGCAAGCTTGAAAAAACGACTTTGATAGCAGTCAAGCTAAATAACAAAATCAGGCTGCTTTTCTTAGTTGATGAACAGTTTAAAATATTGGAATATCTAATGTTGGCATAAATACATATAGGGAATTACAAACAAGCTCTTCAAATGTAAGTACTTAAAGAATTATGGCATTGCTCAGCTGATTCTGCCATGTTCTGAATCTTGATTTTCTTCAGTCCACAAGAGCAAAACTGAGCAGAGACATGATTCTACAACAAACTACTTGACTATTTTTGTAAATAAGCTGACATGTATTTATTTAAAATCTGTGCAATTTTGGGGTTAACAACAGAACAGATCATATGTACGAGGCTGCGTAGATACACCATGTTGTGGTTCGACAAACGCAGCCGAGTGAACTTCTTCACAATTCAGACATATTCGTCAACAGTCCAGCTACAGTTTAAAAAAATGTATTTATGTAAGATAAGTTATTTATTTATTTGTTCCTATTCTTTTGTCATGCCGATTAACTTATTTTGTAACGTGCCTATCTCTGTTCATTGTGTGTACAGTTCCTAATAAAGATAAACTTGTACAGAACTAACAGTGTTGGTGGGAGTATCATTGCTCTAAAGAGAGAAATGTGTGTAATGTACACAAGGAAATGTTTATTCAAAGGTTTTTACAAAAATATGTTTTGCACACATACAAAAATTAACATTCTAGATCATTTAGTTAAATCTTATGATTCAATCATGAACTACAATGAGATTCAAACCCAGGTGAGATACTTTGTACATCTGTTAACCACAGTTTAACAACATTTTTGTGTCTCTGTATTTGTGTTAGTTGGCATTTGCTTTCCTCTCTAGAGAGCTAGATATTTGTAAAGCCAACAGCCATAAACACAGACTGATAATCTGTCTAAGAAGTCAGCTGTACTGGATGACAGCGGTTCGTCTATGTTGCTCACTTCTGACCAACGGCCATTTAAAGGTTTACACAGAAGTGCTGCTCACATTGTTAAAAGATTTATTGATTATTCCAGTACCAAACCATCTCTATGTGGCCACCGTATCCTCCTCTGTCTCCTCTGGCTCTGCCCCCCACACCTGGACACGTCCCTCCATGGCTGTGAGGAGGCAGGTCTCTGTGGGGTGGAAGGACAGTGACTGGACGACAGCTTTCCCCACTGGCAGTTTCAAGGACAAAGATCCCTGGAGGTCAGAAGAACAATGTTGTAATGCTAACATTATACAGAGTGCTTTCACCACACTTTCTACATATGTTTCTAACATAAGAGCAGACCATGCTGGTGGGAAAAAAACCCAAGTTTTACAGAGAGAGAGATGTTCAGTATTGGTGGTTTGCATTGAGTGCCATATATCTTTTGTCTGTGTTTCTGTCCACTTAAGTTTAGCAAAGTGCTTATGCTGAGCCCATCATGTTAAATGCACTATGAACATAAATGCAAGCAGACACTTACTTCCACCAGGTCCCAGCAGTAGACGTGTCCGTCCTCTGAGCAGCTCAGGACGTGAGTGTCTTTACTGGACAGGCAGCAGTCCAGCTTATAGCCCTTCATCTTGTGCCCTTTGTACCTGAGTGAAACAAACAAACAAACATAAACATAATGACAATATGAGTGTGAATTAATGTGCAATACTTTGTCGATAACTGTTCAACAAACTGCAGGGCTTTGCGTACATACAAACAGTAAGGGGGGTGGACAAAATAACAGACACTCTCAGCACTCACTCTCCCAGCATCTCTCCGGTGCTCTTGTCCAACAGTCTGACTGTTGAATCCAGACTGGAGCTCAGAGTGCACTGACCGTCCTGACTGAAACACACACACGTGATGGGACCTGGAACACACCAACACATACACAAGTTACAGGGTTCCGCACTTCCGCTGTTATTTACAGCGTCCGTGTTGCATTTCCAAGGTCGTAAATAAAGGTTTAGATGAGTCATTACTTTGCTGTCACTTCTACTACTGCGACAATTAGTGTAACTACTGCTACAAATAATGTCAGTAATAGTTATTGTTATTACCGTGCGAATGTTTGAAAGAAAAAGATTACTCACTGCTGATGAAGTCAACATGCAGCTGTCCCATTCTCAGGTCGTAGCGCCGCACTCTGCCATCCACTGACCTAAACAAGTATATTAAATATTTTTGCCTCAGTGAAATCAAACTTCTGTTTCACTGATAGAAAGGTATTTTTTCCAGTTTATTTCAATTCTATTGTATTTATGTAGTGTCAAATTATAACAGAAATTATCTCAGGACACCTCATATACAGCAGGGCTGGACCATACTCCTCATGAAATTATTTACAGAGACCCAACCATTCAGTTAAGAAAAGGAATGATAAAACCGGGGAGACATTGTGTCTTTATCTGCTTTGAGCTCAAATCTAAACCTGCTACAGTCTGAATGAGCAGGAGATATAAGGGCTGGCGTGCTGACCCGGTAAGCAGCTCGTGTTGTGCCACTTTGATGCTGCTGATGCCGTCCCGAGCCTCGTCTAGAACCTGGATGGGCTCAAATCTTCTGGACCTGGTGTCCCAGCACCGAACTGTTCCATCTATGGACCCTGGAGGAGGAGAAAACACACACACACACACACACACACACACACACACACACACACACACACACACACACACACACACGCCAAGACCACAAATAAATGAATATACACATTAACTAAGTTAACACTAAACCACAATTAGATTCAGTTAGTAATTAGTGTTAGTGTTTATGAGTTAGTTACAATTGAATATAAATACAGACCAAGAAACTTACGAAGACAACCGCAAACTACAAATACAAACTGCAGTGTCCACAAAAATACACAGTGTATACTGAATAAGACTCACCAGACAAGATGACAGTTGCCTCCTCGTTGAACTGGACACAGTTGACTTTCTGTGAACAAAAGATTTGAGTGAGATATAAAAAAAAAAATGTAAAGAAAGAACAAATAAAGTATATGGTACAACAAAAAAACAAATGAAACCATTTTGAATTGAAATGGACATGACAAAAGCTATAAACAGCAGAACCGACCCCAGCGTGACCTCTGAGCTTGCGTGTGACCTGGCCTGTGGCAACGTCCCACAGGATCACCGTCTTATCAGAGCTGCAGGAGCACAGCTGGCTGTTGTCATAGGAACTGTTGGAACAGCCAATGAGAAACAAACAATGTCACTTCAGCGTTTTTTCTTTTCTCTTGCTTTCTTTCCAAAATTAGACACACCGTGGAGGAGGCTGTGACAATTCTCTCACCCATCGGCATCCAGGACCTCGTATCCGTGGCCGCTGTATGTCTTCAGCAGGGTCCCTCGGCTCGCACTCCACAGCTTTAGAGATTTGTCACTGCCACAGGACAGCAGGTAGTTCCCATCAGCTGACCAAGCAGGGAGACATGAGACGGAGGCAGGCGTAAGCTAATGACAATTTAATGGACAACTCATGACTCTCAGGGAGAATGAACACTCTCCACAGGCTGCACGCTTTGTCACAATAATAATGTCCCAATAACAGCACAGGATTGATTTACCTGAGCTGGAGTACTGCAGTGTTTTCATAACTTGGACATTAGCTCAAACCAGATTGCTGTCAGCCATCTAAACATTAGTACGAGGAGTATACTGGCTCCTGCTTACCGTTGAAGCGAACAGCCCTGACAGCTCCCTGCTGGCAGTCTAGGGTCTTGAGCAGATGTTGAGGAAGCTGAGGAAGCTGAGGTCTGGGCTCAGGGAACGCCATGACACAACCTGGGTGGAGAAACACAACACAACACAACACAACACAACACAACACAACACAACACAACACAACACAAGTGTGAGCCACATTAACAGCTTCCCCTCCATTACAGTTCACTGTGAGGTGACAATGCTTTTAATACTGCTGCACAAGCTATGAGCTGGGTTACTATTGTTTCTTGGAAACTACCTGAGTTATGGAAGTTTATGAGTAGCTTTAACATTTTATTCTTCAGACAGAACTAGCGTTAAATAATATAAATAAGCGTTATTTAACTCACTCGGACCGTTTCACCAGAGTTCAGTTTCAGGGACGCGTCATGTTATGTTTGATATTCCCAGTGGAACTAACATAATAACGACAATAATAAGTTTATTCCCAGTTTGAAAACCATCAACAGCGTCTTCCATTCATTTCACCCATCATGGTTGCTAGTACTCGCAATGCACACTGGGAAAACATACTCCTGTCAAAATAAAAGTAAAAAAAAACAAACAAACATCCCCCCTGTTTCATTTTAGGCTGCGGATTACTCCAGCCTTTTATTTTGAAATTCACCGGATATAACGGCCCCCCTTCGTCCCCATTCATGACGAGGCCGATCAGCTGTCTTTCTCTCCCCGGAGTTTAAATTTCTTTATAATAAATAACACCAGGAAGGCATTATAACATACAATGTCTGCCAACAACATGTCAGACCCGAGGAGACAGAATAAGATTTTAAGGTGAGTACTTCGTGGCGGGAAACAGAAGTTTCTAGACGGAATTAGCTAACCGTATTAGCCTGGTTAACGGCTAACGAGCTAACGAGCTAACCTTTAACACCAGTCATGAGTATATCTTAAAGGGATTAGCGATCGGTTGATGTAGTCATCGTGTAAGTACTATTGCTTATTATTCATTCGGCTATGAGTGATTTAATAATCGGCCATTAGATAGTTGATGTTTTAGCGAATGGTTTGTTTTTCCATCTGTGGCTCAAACTATAGGGGCAACCCTGTCCTGGTCACTGTACTTTATTTTATTCTGGGGCTCATAGTTTGGACTCCTTACTTCCAGTGAAGAGGAACAGTCTGTTTCCCGCGTTGTTCCAACAGTTTGATGAAGGTCCTTTCCTGTTTCAATGTGGCAATTCCCCCCCATGCTCAAAGCCAGGTCCAAAATCAGATGGTTTTCCCAGTTTTGGTGTGGAGGAACTTGACTGGCCTGCACAGGGTCCAAACCTCAGCCCCATCCGACACCTTTGGGATGAACTGGAGCGCAGACTGTGAGCCCGGCCCTCACTGGTGCTCCTTCTAGGCTGAATGGGAGCAAATCCCTGCAGCCAGGTTCCAACATATGGTGGCTTTCCCAGAAAAAGTGGAGGCTGCAATGCACTGTAGAGTAATGCCCCTTGGTTTTGTAACGAGATATTGTAATGGTAGCATTGGACCAGCGGTGTAACAGTTGATCCCTCATAACAAGATGTAAATAACATTGTGTGTTTATGGATAATCTACATATTTGGTGTTGCAGGTACAAGCCGCCCAGCACAGAGAGCAATCCGACACTGGAGGACCCCACCCCTGACTACATGAACCTGCTCGGCATGATCTTCAGCATGTGTGGGCTGATGCTCAAGGTGACCTACACACACACACACACACTCTCTCTCTCTCTCCTTCTACTTTCCCTCTGTGTATGTTTACTTGTGTGTGTGTGTGTCAACACTAAAGGGCTGTTGTCCCTGAATGTTAGACCTTGGTCCAGCCCAATCGTTCCATTTAGAAGATTAAAGGTAAACTCACCTTTTCAGATGAAAGGATGAAGGACAGCTTTTGACTTTCACCACTAAGGACACAATAAGCAAAACAGAGAGGGAGACAGCAGCAGGCGCATGTGGCCTTTCAGTCCAATTGTTGATCATTTTGTTTCATTGATTGAGGCTTTCCATCAACAAAGAACTAGTTTTACTTTGCAGGTGTAAAATGTTTTTGTTTGTGTTGTTTTAAACAAAGGGCATAAATAATTATGCAATCATGCAAAGACCTGCCAATGATTTTGGGATTCCTGTCAGTACAGGAGTAACTAATAATTCACTCTAAGAATTGTACATTTTACTGGCGGTTAACAAAATACTGGCAACAACACCTAACAAAATATTGTGTTAATATCAGACACACCACTGATCATTGCCATTTATCAACTATGTAGTTGTATTCCTTTAACTTCATATTAAACTTCAACTGAGCCAGAGCTGATACAGTCTGTCTGTCTGTCTCCAAACAAACGTCTACTAACTAGTAGATCAACTGATGTGCCATTATATTAATGGTTCCTATTATATAGATATAAGTTTTGGTCTTTCTAATCTTCCATACCAGCTAACATTTGTAACGTGTGTGTGTGTGTGTGTGTGTGTGTGTGTGTTTCAGCTGAAGTGGTGTGCCTGGATCGCAGTCTACTGCTCTTTCATCAGCTTTGCAAACTCCAGAAGCTCAGAGGACACCAAACAGATGATGAGCAGCTTCATGTGAGTATATAGCACCATGTGTTTATGCATACAGACATATGTGAACTTGAACATACTATAAAGAGTTTTAACCTGGTTATAAAACAGTCTCAGTTTAATACCGATGCCTTTATATGACCTACATAAACAAACATGATCACCGGGAAGATTGGCTATTTCTATATAGTTATTCTTAATGTCTGCCACCGGGTCAGATGGTTGGTTTGTACAACATGTCCCCATTAATGATTCCAAGCTAATTTGTAAATACACTAGGAGACTCTTTACTGTCTCCATTATTAGGGATGTGGCCTTCTTCTCTGTTGCAACTCTTAGTCATGAAACAGGCTAATAAAGGTACTATATGTTTACGTTAAAGTCTTGAATTATGCAGCTTTAAAACTGTAGGTTAGACTCGCTACTGTCTGCCACTGAGCCAGCTCTAATGTCCAAAAGCTTTTAACTGTCTGACCTCCAGAGGTGGTACACTTCCATTTGCTTATAAAAGAGTACTACTGTAGGGCACCTGTCCAGGCCTCGCAGACAGATTTACAATGAGGAAAAACCTCCTGGTCCATCGTCTAGATGAGGTTGTATTAAAGACAAGCTTGATGCGCTCATAGTTTAGTAACGCAAAATGTTTGGCTCAGCGAATAATGTCAGACGATGAACTTAATGCACCAGCCTCGTGTGCACAGAAGCTGGTTCAAGGCCAGTTTTAGGACATTTGTCAATAGCCAAGATATGATGTAAGTGTCCCTGTGTTATTAAACAAAAGTAAGTGGCTGTGCAGGATGAAAGAGCTGTGGAGGGCAGGTATGTCATTGGTGTTATCAGGCAAACCCGCCGTCACGCATGTTTGGAGGAATCAACCCCCCAGTGGCTTCACATGGCTCAGGGATACATTCTTTAGACCCACATCTGTACTAATCAGACCTGTGCTCCTACAGATTGTTTCATAACATGGCAACTTGTCAGCAAAATATCTCATTGAATAATTAAAAGACAGCTGGAGCGTGTTTTTTTGCTTTATAGACAACAAGTAAAAACTAATTTTAATGAGTCAACAAAGGTGCTCAAGGACCGCAACAAATGCAAACCAGAAAGAAAATTCCAAGGTAGAAAAATCATTCGTCTACACTTCGATAAAGGCTTTTATTCAAGCCCTGTATTAGAGATTGTTGATATTTTCCCGACCCAGACTGCCTTTAAATTTTGTCAGAATAATATCGTGACAGTATAGCGTTATGTTATTATTAAAATAGGAGTAAGAATTATAATATTAATAATACATAATAATAATTGCATGAAGATGCAATGCAAAAAGAATAAATGACATTATACATAAACTGTCTAACATTTATGGATTACATGTGTAGAAATACTGTTTCAGTGTGACTTTAAAACTAAAATCACACACTAAACATGGTGTTTTTCTCACGCTCTCTGTGCTGTCTGCAGGCTGTCCATCTCAGCAGTTGTGATGTCCTACCTCCAGAACCCACAGCCAATGTCGCCGCCATGGTAACCAAGGGCCAATCAATCACTGAAGAGCAAGGAAGTAAATTGTGGATGCTGGAGTTGGTGACCAAACAGCTGATTGGCCCCCCTGGCCATCACGGAGGAAAAACAGAGGCAGAATGGAAGATAATGTGATAGAAAGAGAAGAAGAGAGAGAAAACAGATGACCAGGAAGGGTGGACAGCAAGGGCCCCTACGTCAAGATGGACAGATCAAATGGTCTTTGACTGCGTTCTCATGTTTTTCTCTTTGTAACCTTTTCTAAGTTTGTGGATTCAATCTTCAAAATTTTACTGTTTGGCTGATCTGTTGCAGGATTTCGTAAATAAAGTTGTACGGTTTTAAAATAACTGCTTGCTATTACTTGTCTTTGGAAGGACATCACATCATCACACTGGTTTGTAACTTGTAATTACCTCATGGTAATTACAACCTTAAAAATAACCAATGCCAAAATAACAGGAAGTGTCTTTAAACAAACACAGATGCCTGTCTTCAAGTAAAGTCACTCCTTCAAGTTCAAAGAAATTCAATTAACTTAATTTCACCCGGATAATTTACTCAGTGTGTATTGCTTTCCAGGGAGTCCTACAGTACACTGAGCAGCTGATGCAGTTAATTAAGAATTCTAGGTACTTACATCCTAATTCAAAGGTCTAGTGCATAATAGCATGTATATAGGGACTGTTGTGTTTTTGTTCCCTTAGAATGAGCCGGTTTTATCTACACACACCACATCCCCGAATGTCTTGTCCAGTCCCAAAGATATTCAGTTTACTGTCATAGGGGACAAAAGAAACCAGAGAATATTCACTTGTGAGAAGCTAAAATCTGAGAATTTAGACATTTTTCTTTAAAAAATGAGCAATCAGTTATCAAAATACTTGTGTACACACTGGATCTATTGTCAGAATGGAATATATTCTTCATAATTATTGGTTTCATTGTGTTTCCTGCTTAGAATCAGCCCATTAGAATCAGGTCGTACAGCCATGTTTCTACAGTAGCCCAGAACGAACAAACCAAACACTAACTCTAGGTAGGCCACCATAGTTTCTCCCACACACTTTCACACCAATCTCATTCACAAGTCGTTTAAATACAGATGCAAGCAGTGTTCGGGTAGTAGCAATCTGCACCTTCGCCACTAGATGCCACTAAATCCTAAACGCTGGTCCTTTAATTCTTGAATATCAGGTATGAAGGAATAGTTGCTTAAAGGTAACCCTCATAAAGAAGGGGTTCCCTTTCTTGTACAGAGTTCTCCCATATTGGACTTTAAGGCGTAGTACACACAGCAGCAGACATTGATCTGGTGAGCAGTTTCCTGCAGCTTGTCTGTTCAAGAGCTGTTACATCTAGTGATCATCCGCACACACACACACACACACACACACACACACACACACAAGCCTAGGTCTATCCCCCTCCAGCCTCTCAATCTAGTAGGGCCACTGCTCTTTCTCCTCTAAAACACATGCAGACGCACACAGCATTAACTGCCTGTGCGTGTGTAGATGACGGACAAAAAGCTGGGGAGTCAGCTGGATGTGAGACTGATTTAGTGCCACATAACTCATGTCTCCCCGGGCCTGGCACTGCTGCAGCCACGCAGAGTGGCTACCCAGGCTGCTTGGCCCGCAGCCACCGTTTCAGCAAACGCCACCGGATTTTCTACTGATTCTGTCCTGACTCACACTGCTAACTCAATCCTTTCTTTGGAGCACTAAAAACTGCCTTTATCCCATTGTTGTGTTTTTTTAAATTGTGTCTGCCCCAGTCATAATGGTGCATTTGTTGTTGATTGCTATCAGAAGTGAGGATATTGAATTTGTCAGAGTCAGCAGTTATCGTCTGTATTGATCGGTGGGCTGCGTAATTTGGATATTAAAAACTGTCACAGTTTGTTGAATGTAGATCTTAAGTTCAGTGGGTGACGGGCTGGAGGCGATTTTAATTAAATCTAATCTCCATATTCTGCTCTGCTGGATCTGACCAATGAGAGAAGAGTGTGCAAAGACTGCTGGGAAACAGGCCTCATTCTCACTCTCTAACACTAGAGGGCACAGCAGCCTTTCAAATGAGTGAGTCTCTCATGAATCGGAAGGATATACCATGAGACCAGTCTCTGTGGCCTCCACTAATTAGTTAATTTATTAATGAAAGGCATTACAACGCTACTAGAATATCTTCCCCTGCCATAGATAGTTTCAGTTGCGCTGATAATTCAATTATTATTTTCTTTATTATGTCTCTTAGTGATGTAGAATGGATGGCAGGTCTCAATTTTAGAGAGACTCCTAAAATGCTCCTACAGGACCCCCTCACAGATCCACCAGAGGAACCCAATCGTGTGTGTTGTCATGTCCCTCTGCTGAAACGTATTCCTGCTGCCCATCAAAGCAGTCAGAGGCAGAAGAGTTCGCTTTCGTTCCACAGATTTCAACTCGGTCTGAACACCTTCATTTTGTCATCTCCCTTTCTTTGTGCTCTGGCTGAATGATTTCCTATGAGTGAGTGATTGTATTATGCAAATCACAAGGAGAATGTAAACTAGACAAACAGTACTAAATAGACTGTAACTCATGATAGTTGTATTTCTTTGTTGGAGTATATTTTAGTGTTCAGACTAGGCTCAATTCCTGCCTCGCAAGCTGGCTGTGAAAGACATTACTCTGCACGTTTCAGTTCCTTGCTGAAGGGCGACTTGCGATGGGCTTTGAGAAACTTTTTTGTTTTGTGCTACTTTCACCGATCTGACTCTAGGTAACTTCAGGATAACCAGGGCCACTTGAAGAAGAATAAATATTTGATGTGACAACTCGCGCTGAATATGATGCATTACATGTATGTAGATTTTAGAAAAGTGTTAGAAAGAAAATGCATTTTATTGATATTCTGAATGTACCATATATTATAGCTGGATATAGATGAGTAAACCAACTGAAGTTAAGGGGAAATCTGTGATGTTTTAGTGTTTCTGGCAGTGAATGTGGACACAATCATAAACAATACATACAACTGGTGAAAAATGATGAACCTTTACTTAAATTATGTCACTGACCTATAGCGATGTAATAGCATCATAACCAGTAAACAACACAGGCAACTATTCAGTGAACCAAACTTTGATGCGTAAACAGCACTCTGCCTCAGACCTAACACAGTAGTGTAACCTTCAGGCAGTGTCCTACCCTGCCTATCACCATTATAACGCCATTTAAGATGTGAAGTGTTTACTGCATTAGATTTGATCTGCACTGTGGCTCCTGGTAGCCTCAACTCTGCAGGCTGAGCCATTTGTGAATACTTGTGTCTGTGTGTGCTGTGTGTGTCTGTGCATGTCTGCTGATCCCCAGTGAGTCTCTGCAGTATAAGAGCCAGGTTGCTTTTTGTGTCCTCAAATGAGGTTAAACTGCGTGGCACCTCTGCAATATTTGAATCCCTTATGTGTGTGTGTGAGGAAGTGTGTATGTGTGTGTGGGAGGAAGTGTATGTATGGCTAAAGGCTTTAATTTCCAGAGCTAGGTGTTATTATTCGATGTGAACAGCAGCACTGTTGGTGGGAAGATGCTGAGTCGGACAACCTCCGTCGTGAGACTGTCATACACACACACACACACACACACACACACACACACACACACACACACACACATGCACACACACAATAGAGACTCTTGGTACACAAAGACTTAAGAGCCATACAGGAATGCCAGCGCCTGCACACATTCAAATGTTAGTGTGCATCAGCAATGTCACCGGTGTTGCGAGGGGAGTTTTGCGGCTGCCTCACAGCTTTTGGAGAATAGAGGAAGTCCGATCCCTGTGACATTGGTCCTGCAGCTTCAGCCTAGTTGCTTAAAATGATCTCAATATTCCTCTATCGCCCTCCTAATCTCCTTTCTTTCCTTCTTAAAGACACAGCGGTGAATGGATCAGCAACACCGCTGACAAACAGAGAGAAAATGTTAAACTGAACTGAGAGAGAGAGAAACCGGCACTATCAGTGATGGTCTCTGTTAATCATCAGTCTAATTTTATATTTAAATATCTGTACATGCATGTACAGTAATATAATAAAAGGCACAATTTGTCCCTTTTCTGGTGTTTGTTATTCTTCTGTTGTGTTCTATTGTGCAAATAAATTAAATACAGGAGTTAGACTGTCCTCTGCATGCTGTGCTGGTGTTAAATACATTAAACTATGGGAAGATAAGTATGCACATCTGGATTTACTGTTTTTACTATAGATAAGATCATTTTGGAATACATATTCATACATTTTAAGTGAACATCATATAAAGTGTAACAGTTGTTGTTATTTTGTTTGTATTTCAGTTTTTATGAGACGTTTAGGTAGTAAAGGAAAATGAATGACAATTCCCAAAATCCCACCATGGCCTGAAGTAGAAATCTGTCTTTGGCACTGGTCAAAGTCAAGTTAGTTATTATCTATACGGACAAAAATCACAAATTTGTCTCAGAGGGCTTAACAATCTGTAATGTGTACACCCTCCATCCTCAGACCCTCTGTTCAAAGAAAAAACAGCAACAAATGGGGTAAAGGGGGAGAACTCTCAAAGAGAGCGAGAGGAGGCTATTCCTCCTGCAGAATGGACAGAGGGGATTGGTGTCATAGCCAGAAGTAGCATTACAGAATTACAATGTATAATATCTAGGTTGATATTAAGCACACATATACAAAACACATTTATAAAAGAACAAATCATGCAAGATATTTCAAACACTGTGTCTACAGTAACAGATAGTGACACACAGCTGATCACAAACCTACAACCTCTGAATGAAGTTGATCTGAACAGAGGAGGGGGAGGAGGAGGAGGAGGAGGAGGAGGAGGGGGAGGGAGTGTGAGGGTGACACTTTTAGATAGATGGATAGAGAGAGAGAGAGAGGGAATTGGGTGGGGGGGCCGAGAAAGAGAGGTGGAGGGAGAGAAACAGAGACAGATGAGGAGAGTGGATGTGGTAGAGAGAGGAGAGAGAGGAGAGAGAGAGAGGGAGAGTCCGGTATAGTGGATGTGAAGCGGACGGCGCACAATCCGAAACGTCCTTTTAAGAACAACAGCAGACCTTTAAACACGACTGGATCGACACATGCCTTGACTGCTCCCCAGTCTCTTCCAGCTCACTGTCAGCGACACCCACTCCTGTCGGATCCACAGCTGACACCACAGCCGACACCACAGTGACATTCATTGACCGGCGGACTGCACTTTTGTCGGGATGTTCTGGATGTGAACATGGAGTTTTCTTCCCCACCAGTGGTGGATACGTTACTGTTCCGTCTCCGCCCGTCCAGTCCTCCCAGCACCGCTGACTGGTTTCCAACCGCCTCCGCCCGACAGGTGAGCAGTTCGGGGCCACCGGAGACCCGGTGGGCGGGCCTGGAGTCTCCGGAGCCCGCAGGCTCGGTACCCGCCGGACAGCGGAGCACCTGACAGACAGGTAAGGCTGCACGGGCCGGTCCGAGCTGCATTTAAAGCACCCTGGACGTTACATTCACTCCTAGTTTAAGTTCTTTTTTTTTTTTTTTCAATAACACGAAAATGGTCATTTCATGTATGATTTGCCAAAAAAATAAAAAATTAAATGGAAAAAAAAATCTGGGGATAAATGAAGCAAAGGGTGACATGAAATATGAGTAAGCTACTTGCAAGTATGACGTCTTTTACCAAAGACCAATAATGTCCAACATCAGAGCATTATTTGGTCAATATTAAACCATTAGGCCTGATGGGTTCAAATTTGGTCACAATGATACATTTGGCCAATGTCAGAAAATTAGCTTGATTTCATTTGTTTTTTTGGTCATTCTGATCACATATGTCATGGGGTGATTGTTAATTTAATGTTATTATTGGGTAAATAGATCCATGATTGGTGCCCCAACAAGCAGATCAGCCACCTGGGTAATGACACTGCACTGGAGGAGTTTGAAATGCCTTCTTAAAAAAAGTGTTTTTGCTTAATCTTTGCCTCATTTCTCCCAAAAAATGATACCTCACTCCTTATAAATGACACATTTGGCCAATCTCCAACATCCCAAAGTTGGATCCTTTCCGGAAGATGCATAGCTAATTTGCCTATTAAAAATCTTACAAAATCAGATTCTTATGTTATGGAGCTATGGAGGTCTGGAGCATTAATGAACTGTCGACTATACCAGTACAATTACTAATGGTAGGCAATAAAGCTCCGGAAATCAATAAATAATTGGCCCTTGAATATGTTTGATGGCTTTTTAAGTTTAAAATCTTGATATTTAATTATCTCCACACAGACAGTCAGTGTGTTTTCTAAATGGCAGAACATTGCAAAAAAAGAATTAAGCATCCCTTCAAAATGTGTTTACATAGGACAACTGGTGTGTGAGATCCTGTAGTCTGCTTAGAAGAGCTCTTCACCATTACTTTGAATGCCTCCAATAAGCCAACAATTGTAGTTTGTAAGGAACAGATTCGATTTGTGAGTAAACCAATTAGGGCCTTTCAAATGCGCTTAATTAAAATTAATTTGGGTGATTCCAGAGTCATTAAAAGGTTTAGGTCTGATAGTTTAACTTTTTCCCTGTGATTACGTGTCCCCACCTGGACTCTGAATTTGCTCAAAATGCGATTGCTCTGTGTCTGAGATTTTACATGATATGACTTGACGTTTGACTGATGGACAAGGCTCAAACCAAACTGAAACACAGAACAGTGAGCCTCACAGGCCCTGGAGCATCTCCATCTCAATGTAATAATAACTCTGTTTGCCTTTGCTCAGTCACTGTTGATAAAAGACCTATAGAGGAGGGACAGCGCTTTATTTACTGTGGTCTGCTGAGACTGAGACCTTTATACTACAGTATTTATTGGCTCCTTGTTCAGTGGATCAAGCTTATTGAAAGTCTATGTGAGTTGCTCATGAGAAGTGCAACAGCTAACTGTTTAAATGTGAAATGCAAATATAAGGGAAGCAGGTGTATCCAGCAGAACAGTATAGTAAAGAATCACATCTAGCAGCCATGGATGAATATTATCATTCATTTGGAGTTGTGACGCTGTCCACCTGGTGAATGTAAGTCATTATTCACTTTCTTTTAGCGCTGTGTTGATCACTCATCAGAGAAACATCTGGCTCTTTAGCTGACTAATACTCCACTATGTTCACCACTTTGGCCTTTGGTGCTGAGCAGGCAGTGTGCAGTGGGCTTTTCAGAGCTTTTTTACTGAAAATAGCTGGCTACTACCTCTAAACGACGCACTAATGTTGCAGGCTGTGAAAGCAAACCAGTGAGCTGAAAGATGTAGAAAGAGTCGGTTGATAATTCTCTGTGGGTTGATCACTACGAGTGATGGACAGGAAGAATGATTACAGAGAGGAAAACCACATTTTCAACACAGTGTGGGCACCTGACCTTATCAATTCCAATCCAGGGCTGCAACTAACAATTATTTGAATTATTGATTAATCTGTCAATGATTTTCCCAATTAATCGTTTAGTTGTTTGATCCATAAGATGTAAGAAAATTGTGAGAAATGTTAATCACTGTTTCCCAAAGCCCAAGGTGACATCCCCAAATCTTTTTTTGTCCACAACCCAAAGTTATTTGGTGTACTGTCATAGGGGACTAAAGAAACCAGAAAATATTCAAAATCAGACAATTTTGACATTGTTCTTAAGAAAATGACTAGTATAGTTGTATACACACAGGCTCTATTGTCAGAAATGGAATATATTCTTCATAAGTATTGGTTTCATGGTGTTTTTGTTAGCTTAGAATCCCGCTATGTCGCACCACCATCTTTTTGTAGTATCTCAGAATGGACAAACCAGACACTGGCTGTAAATGTGACCCACACATGTAAATGCATTTAGCACCATTTTGCCCCCACAGTAAAACATGAGCTGCCACCAGAGAGAATAGAAAATGACCGCAGGCTCCGTGTGTTTGAAGGGACAAAGCTTCATTCTGCTCAAAAATAGTTACAGCAGAAGCACCAAAACAAAGACAGCCATGTAACCAATACCTAAATTACCTCACAGCATCAAAACACTTTCAGGTAAGACATTGCATAAGGTTTGTCTTCCCTTAGCCACAGTGGGCGGATAGAGGAGAGCATTTGAACTTCTTAAGATTTTGAAAAACACTGACAATTGATTCGATAACTCCCAGCTCACTAATAGTTTTGTACAGAAAGTCCTAGAAGGAAAAGTAGAGTGAAAAATGTTAATTCTATTGACTGTTAGAATTGCCAATATCGACCCCTAACTGAATTTCAATATTTCAGATGTAAGAGCTCCGTGTTTGGAGTCAAATTGAACCGAAGCTTCTTGTCTCAGACCACCCTGTAAACAAAGAACAAACAGCTCTCCTACTGCTGCTAAAATAAAAATGCCTCTGAGATTCCGCAACTCTTCTTCTAAAGGAGTCAAGGTCGTGATAAGACATTGAGATTTTCTACCCGGGCTATTATTGTACACATTCAGCATGGTGTCAAATCTGCTATTGGATGAGTGAGTTATGTAAAATCTCTATGTACAGATCTCTCAAAAGTACTACTCCACCTCTTAGCCAAAAATATTCTCTGGCCTCTGTCAGTTCCTTACTATTTTGGCTCATATTGGCCCAAACCTGACATCAGCGTAACATCATCAGATCTAAATGTTATTGAATCTTTACAGGGAGCAGGCTGCATCCTGCTTGAACCCTGAAGGATCCAGAGTTGTAGAAAGGATTAGAGTGGTTCTGACAGGTGTGTGCATGTGTGTTTGTATTCTTGTTTCCGAACTGCAATCTCACACCTGCACTCTTGCCTGTTACTTCTGGGTCATCTCTCTATCCTCACCCCCTCTGTCTCCGTGCTCCATTAATCCCCCTTTCCATCCCTTTGTCCATCAATCCATCTCAGTGTTTTCCATCGCTCTGTTTGTCGGCTTTACTCTACTGAATAACGCCTTATTGGCATGAGCCTAAACAGTGCCGCTGTCAAGAGTGTGTAGCTGTCAAACTAACTAACAATAAGCAGAAGTTGCCAAAGACGAAAAGTCAACAATGTCCAGTAAAGGGGACAAACAGAGATAAACAAGGTACATAAAGAGAATAAATTGATAGACAGTGTAGATAGCTGCCAGTCACATAATTTGGTGATCAAGTCAGTGTCATATTAGCCACATTCTTTGGATCTGCACAAATCTTGTGACTGTTTGTCAGTGAACCCATGGATGGTTCCAACCGGTCTCAACCACCACGGGGTGTTAGAAAGTCACAGTCACCTTTTGTGGGTTGTAGTAGTGGTGGAGTTGAAGTGGTGTCATTGCGCTAGAATAGTTACTCTAATAAGTCGAGATTTGGCTGCCGATAAAACACACATTAATTATGCTTGTTCAATTATGCATTAGTGCCTTCACCATCACATGAACCCTAATCTCAATGGCAAAAAAGTCCTGTTGCTCTTTCTACCATGCTATGTTAAGATTTCTGTCAAAGTTATAATATTCAAGTGCTGTTTCATATAAAGCTGCAAGTAATTAACCTATCGACAGTGAATTGGGAACTCTCAATGCCAAAGAAAGCTTAATTTTAGCATTACTTAGTACAGAACACTCATCAATGTCGGAAAAGGAAGCGCAGGGATTGGATTAAGTGCAGTGGACCTTGAGACAATCACTGCCCCACGGCATCTTCCAGACCAGACCAATTTAACCCTTGGTTGTCTGCTTTAAGCTGACCACTGTATGTAAGCCTATCCCTTTCAATAATGAGCCATAATGTAAATTCCCCCATATAAAATCGCAATAGGGAACAAATGGCAAAAAAATCATAAAATGTTTATATGGTTTGCTTTGAAACTCCCAAATCCAGTGTGCATCATGTGTATGCCGTTGTACACTCTTGGGGATCTTATGTATATTATCTTGTTTTTTCTCAAGATAAATGAACCCATTAACATTAGAAAACGAGCGTTGTTGTCATGAGATAACGATAAGTAAGAGATATCTCGGCATCTCGAGATAACCGCATTAAAGAAATGTTTGAGTCCATGACCTTTTAGGGCTTCCGTAGCTAAGAGAGGCTGCTTTGATCTAAATTATCAATGAAGCGGAGAGGAATACATACAGGATGTAGGAAGTCTCGATTACAGTCAATATGTGTTGGATACTACAGGTCTTTCTGGGATTAAGATCCCGGCTTCAATGTAAAGGTCTTTTCACTTTCACTTGCGTGATTAGATCTCTCCTCAACGCTCTGTGAGCATGTGTAGAATTAGGTAACGTCACATAATTCTCAACATAGGTCAACAGTCAACTTAACTAAAGGTTTAATCAGGCACAGTAACTGAAAACACATATGTTGGTGAGCAGAGCCTTTAAAGTCCACCAGGAACTGAATTGCAATGTTTTTTTCTGCAACATGAATGTGTACAATTCTTCTTTGCAAACTACCTGTCTTGTGCTCTTT